ATTGTACGAAAATCCAGCACACTAAGCAGTTAGTGAGCAGGGTAGTGCTTTTATCAGAGACTTCCATTTAAGGTTTATTACGTGGAAAACCCCTGAAAAGGGGAAGAAAACACGGGGCCTGGCCCAGTTTTGAATGAAGACGAAGGATTCTCTGCCTACACTTGGAGAGTATGAAAGGATGAAGGGTTCTCTGCCCATACTAGGAGAGTGTGAAAGGACGGACGGTTCTCTGCCAACACTGTAGATTATGTAAAAGGACGACGAGTCTCTGCCGCACCGGGGAGTGGTGAAAAGAGTGTGTTATAAAGGCTTCTCTGCCTTACTGTGGGTGCAAAAGGAGAGTCACTATTGGTATTAGTGCAATACGAAGAGGGTGCCTCTGGGGAGTGGATGTAGGTCTGGTTTTAGACCGAACCACTATAAATCTGGTGTCATTTACTTTATTGTTTTTACATTTACACATTTTAATTTTAATCTTAAAAACTCTGTGGTTGAAAAACTTTTTCTACAAAAACTTAAAAGAAACATTTTTATTTCGGTTAAACATAATTTTAAAAAGAGGGTTTAAAATTTTTTTAAACTACCAATTCACCCCCCCCCCTTCTTGGTAGCCTTGGGACATTAACTTAGGCTTAACAACCTAATTACTAGACTCAACAGAGAAGATTAAAAGCAAATCGTAAACGTGCACGAAACAGAGAAAGTTACCTTCACAGTGAGCAAACTCCCATGGTTTTGCTTCCGATCAAAATATGCAGATCATGTTCGAGTCTGACAAATTATTTCGTTTACAAAAATGGGTGGGGTTCGGGTCATGTCAAACATTCCCGGGTCAATTCTAGGTTGGACCCAAACCTGGTCCGTGACCCAATTTTTATAGCCCTACAAGGCGGGGTCTATATTAGACCCAAGCAAGTTGAACCTGTTAGTCCCCTCGAACTAGTCCTATAGGTCATAGGGGAGTTCCCTAAATAAACCCTTCATAAGGGCAAGTATCCTTATCATTAGCCAGTAGTTACCGGCAAAACACCCATGAAGATATTAAAAGTATGCAATATATACAGTTAAATTAAATCTTTCTTTATATAAAATATATCAGAATAAAATTTGTTTTAATAAAATTATTTTACCCAACTCCTTTTACAAGGATTGCCAAAATCCTAGGTGGGGTAAGTGTGCCCGGGTGGTTTTGCCTATTTAAGTTTCATTTTGTTGATGAGGTTGTGTTGTTGAACACTGTTATTTCTATGTGGGCTCTGTTTTATCTGGAGGGGCTGCTGAGCTCTTGCTCTTGGATGCTTAAGTATTTCTTTGGGATAGATGAGGGTGCTGTGCGTTTGAGTCCGATTGTTTTTGTGGGGTTTTTCTGTAACATGCCTGGTTTGCTAGCATTTCACGGGATGCTGGAATCCATGAGGTTGTTTTTACATGGTAACTCTTCCTGCTGCTTAGACCTAGTGTATTATTTTGGCTGTCTGTTATGTTGTTGCAGGTGGTTGGATTTTATTCCTTGGTTACTGTCTTCCTTATATTACGAGCTGGGTTTGCTTATTTGGTTCCTAGAACCTAGGAATTCCTCTCGGCAAGATCTTTTTACTAATTATAATTGGTTTACCATCTGTCAGATTATTAGACATTATGAATTTTCGAAGATTGGTATTAATCCTGGTGGTATTTGTGATATTCATTACTGTGATAACAAGTATTTTTTGCTATTTTTACAGCATTTTCTGTGTTTTTGTCTATTACTTTGTTTTTGCGAGCTTTTGCCTTGCAGGTGATCGTGTTGTAAAACGAAGCTGTTGGTTTGAGTTTCTGGATAATCTTTTTTGTACCTTTATGGTTTTGGGAGCTCGCCCTTGTGCACCGTTGAATGTACCTAGGATTTTATGTACTTTTGCTTAGTAGGGATTTCGAGCTCGTAGGTTTTTTTTTCCTTTTAATTTTGTAGCCCTTCGGAGCAGTAGAGAGCTTGAATTCCCTTTAAAGACGTTGTAATCCTATTTTTTTATTAACGCGTAGGCCCCTCCGTGGATAATCCCTAAAAAAAAAGACCACCAAAATCCTCTCAAATCAGCTAAAGCACCATTGAACTTGTATGCAATTACACATCGAGCCACTCACTTCTGCTTGTCTAGTATATTTTGGAAAGTATCTAGCGAATTAATTGAGCATGCAACAAAATTTAAGAGATTAAGACCATATTACTTAAATAAATTCATATAAAGAAGGAGACGCATTAATTTTTAATACTTAATAATAAATATTATGTAAAAATATCCAAATGAGGCCCTTCCTTGGGAGAAGGCCTTGGATTGATGTAGCAAATATACATCATATAGATTGCATTACATGGTAGGAGTGACATAAACAAGTTCGTTTGGTCGGAAGGACCGTAGTCGGCAAGAGACCGGGGTCAGAAAGACTGTTGTTTGGTGATGTTGGTCGGACGGACCGTAGTAGGCGACGGAGGTCGGGAAGACCGTAGTCAACAGGAGACTGGGGTCTGAAAGACCGTTGTTTGGTGATGTTGGTCGGACGGACCGTAGTAGGCGACGGAGGTCGGGAAGACCGTAGTCGGCAGGAGAATAGGGTATGAAAGACCTTTGAATGTTGATGGAGGTCGAAAGGACCATAGTAGGCGACGGAGGTCGGGAAGACCGTAGTAGGCAGAAGACCGGGGTCTGAATGTCGGGCTTTAAGCAGGACGTAAAGACTGGACGTCGGGCCTTAAGCAGGACGTCGGGTCTTCAGCAGGACGTAGGGACTGAACGTCGGGCCTTAAGCAGGACGTCGGGTCTTCAGCAGGACGTAGGGACTGAACGCCGGGCCTTAAGCAGGACGTCGGGTCTTCAGCAGAACGTCAGGCCTGAATGTCGGACCTTTAGTAGAATGTCGGGCCTGAACATCGGGCCTAAACGTCGGGCCTTGAGATGGTGGTGCGGCGAAACTACGGTGGTGGCCCGGCGAGGCTCCGGCGGTGGTCCGGCGAGGCTCCAGCGAGGTTCCGGCGGTGGTCGAGGAGGAGCTTCTTCCTCCTCTTCCTTCTCTTCTCCCCTTCTCTTCTTGCTTGGCCCCTCTCTTGTGAAGAATGAGGGCTCTATTTATAGATTTTCTGGAGTGGCATGGCCCGTAAATAGGTGTGAGATCAGGGGCAAATAGGGAGTGGCCGAATGACGGTCGATATTGAATCCCTTGATCATGCACCGTTCGTTGAACATTTGAAGGCCTTAGTGATGTCTGAATTCGGCGATCTTGGGCTCGTTGGATTTGTCTCGTCGAGCCGTTCGATTCGAGTATAAGATCGTCAAAATCGAAGATTGTTTGGTAACTCAAATTGCAGTTTGAACCTTCCAATAGCGCTTCGAGCCCTTGATTTGAACTCATTTGGGCTTGGATTGGGTTTATCTTGGTGTCGTTGGGTTATTATTTCTGAGACGCTCAGTTTGACTGTAAGCTCGCTGAAATCGGAGTTCGGGTGCTCCCAGAATTAATTTTTGAAGTTTCCCACTAGCTTTTTCCTCAAGATTCGTGCCCAATCAAGCTAATTTTGTGATGACGTATCAGTTGCCCCCCTATTTTCGGACGTCGAAGCTCCAGGAGTCCGAAAATATTTGTTCCGAACTTTTAAATTGGCCGAATCGAAAAAATTGCATTCCAAAAATTGAATATTTGCACAAACTTGACTATAGAGGCCTCGGTGAGTTCCGGTTGATCTTGGTGTCGTTGGGTTTGTATTTCCGAGACGCTCAGTTTGACTGTAAGCTCGCTGAAATCGGAGTTCGGGTGCTCCCAGAATTAATTTTTGAAGTTTCCCACTAGCTTTTGCCTCGAGATTCGTGCCCGATCAAGCTAATTTTGTGATGCGTATCACTTATAAATTTGAAAAAATATATATATTTAATAATCCTGTAATTTATATTATAAAAATTTAGCCCTACTAAAATTTACAGTAAAGTCTTCAATATTCTTATTTAAAACCCTAATTTCGTTACTAAAATTCAGCACCTATTAAAAATACAAATATATTTTGGAAATTCTCTATATTTGATCAAGTAGTATTCGACTTGCCGTGAACTCCAAGCTCCATTAGAATTGAAGAAAAATTAAAAGAAAATAAAATAAAAAACAAGTCTTATATGATCTATAATTTAATATTTTCAACGTCCTTTTCATCTCCTTCCATTCTAAAATCCCCAGAATGCAAATAAAACCTTCTAAATTTGTACAATTTAGTTCCAACCATATCAAAACTCAAAAGAAAATAAGAGCCAACTGCTTGCATAACAACACAACACATTGCAGCTAAGCAAAATCAGCAGCAAATCAACTAAGCAATGTCTGCAACAACCACATCTGCTGCTTGCTGGCTCTCAGATCGACGAAGTTTGAATGAAGAAATCTTCGAAGGTTCGGGCTTTTCCGAGGGATCAAAACGTATAAAGTTGTAAGACCATGCACCCGAAAGTGTGCCGATCATAGGACCCAAGAAGTACACCCATAGAGACTCATATCTATTGCTTGCAAGTGCTGGCCCTAAACTCCTTGCGGGGTTCATTGATCCTCCAGAAATAGGCCTGCATTGCCAAAATTTGAGGCAGACTATGAACTCCACTGTTACAGTTCAAGTCATACTTAAAATTTAGCTTTGCCAATGGAATATGGCATAGTTATATCAACATGGTTATTTGAGGAGTGCAGTACTAAACCAAAGGAGACACCTCTCGTTTGTTTGATGTATTAGTATTGCTAACATGTTTTGGAGATTTGTGGAACTTGGTCACTACTCCTAAGACATCATTTGTTAATGTTTTCCTCTCTTTTTTTTTGGATAAACTTTGTATTAAAGCCGTCTAATATATTTATGCTATGTTTATTAAGGGTGTTAGGACTATAAAACTCTACAATTAAAACTATGGCTTTGTTTGGGACGGCTATTTAATTCAATTTTTTTTTAATTTTTTAACTAAAAAGCTGCTTTAAAAAACATAAAAAAAAAAAAAATTATCCCAAACGAAGCCTATATTGAAAGCTACAACGATGGTTGATGACAATGGAACATAGCAGTAAGTTAGTGAAGTGTTTTGTGAGTTAATCTTCTGTCGTTTTCCTCAATGATTTTATTTAGGTGGCGCCTACTTCTCAGCATTATAAACGTAACTTCACATCCAAGGCTAAGGTAGTTGTTGGCTATTAATTTAATGATGAATCAATTAATCTCCGTAATTGGATTCCTATGAAACGAATAATCATTTTCTTGAAGTTTTCAAAAGGAGAAAAAGTATGACATAGTTCTGAAATGTAGAGAACAAAAATATGGTTTGGTCTGTCTATCTTTCTATGCTAAATTACCCAGCCAAAATTGAGGTGATGCAAACTGATGATCCAACTGCAAGACCTGCCAACTCCCCCACCTGTTTGTCAAATAAAAGAAAATATAAACATGAGAAATGAATCAAACAAGGATTAAATTGATTGTAAAGAGAAAACAGTTAGAAAAGTTGAGGTATTAGATTTGACTTATGTTAAGAAAGGTAGAGGTAGAGCTAAAAAGATTTGGTTAGAAAATATAGAAATGATCTTTCTTTATTAGATTTAAATAAGAATTTGACTTTTAACATGACATAATAGCAAAAAAGGATTCATGTAGCCGACCCCACGTAGTGGGACAAAGGTTCTGTTGTTGTTTATTAGTTAAAAACAACATGAGTTTTCAGACTCATAAAATTTAATGTTTTCATTTTTCAAATCAAACTTAAGAAATAAAATTATCATTTTCTAGAAGGGGTAAAATATGCCTGGAGCTTCAGTGAAGAAAAAGAGGAAGAGGATGGTGAGTATAAATAAATGACTCACAGCTCTGGTGTCAGTGGCGACAGCAGAAGCAACAAACATTGTGCAAAAGGTGACCACAATCTCCATGATGAGCGCCTGAAGAGCCGTTCCAGCCGGGGTTGTTGTCCCAAATTCTGTTATAGGATTCAGCAATGCCTTGAGAACAAATGAAGCAAACGTCGCACCAGATAATTGTGATAGCCAGTAGAAGGGGACCTGAAGAAGTTCTGACTGAAGTGAGCTTACCAATTCAATAATTAAGTATGGTGTTAGCATTTAAAGAATTAAAAGGTTTAGACTCCTTCCAGTCAGATAGAGTAAGCACCAGTTATGTTCTATTTCTGTCAAAGAAACTATCCTCTTTATATTCCATATACAGATTCAAAGATATTAGCTCTCTCTTTCCAAATGAGTTGTAGAAATTGAATGATTAGCAGTCAACTTCCTTCTTAATGAATGATGATTATATTAGGGTTACAGCTGGTCCAACAGGACCGGCCCAGCAGCCGGTCCAGCAGCCAGAAAATGCAGCTACAGGAGGCAGGACAGCATGGGGTTCGGTATGGGACCCACTAAGCCAATCATTCCTTATGCGAGGAGGAGGATCAAGGGAGGAATTAATGAAGAGATTCTAAATTCAATTAGAGGGAATTTAATTAAGGCAAGAGAAATATTTTAGGTCTGAATTGGAAGGAAAAGAGGGGAATATATAGGGATGTTAATTTGTATTAGGGTTATGTTTTTATGAGTTTTATGCTGTAGTTTCTTCTGTGAGGGCTTCCTAGCAGCGTCTAGATTGATTGGGAGAGCCGATCTACCTTTCAAATAGTAGATCACTTGTATTTTTCATTATTATTGAAGTACTAATAAAAAAATCACCCCCTATCTTTGTGTTACTGCACTTCTTGTTTATTGTGTTGCTTTCAGTTCCAAATCATATCAAATTGGTATCAAAGCGCTTTTTTGGGATCTATGGTGGCAAATAAGGTAGATTTGTTGGAAGGCAAAGGAGCAAATCAAATCCCGGTTGGTGGAGAAATTTTCAACCATCAAAGGAAGGATTTCAACAATGGAGAATCAGATGGAGAGCGACATGGAAGGTTAGAGGAGGTGATGAGGAAGCTCATGGAGATGCACTCCAAAACTCCACTAATGGTGGTTCCGATTGCAAACCCTAACCAAGATTTTATTGTGATTCCCTTGGCCGAATCTAAGGGAAAGGAGATCGAACGGGAGGAGTTCAACGAGGAGAGTTTCTTTCATCAAGAACCACCTCCAAAAGTTTTGATAAGGGACGAATTAGGGTTTTTATATGGGGGGACAACAAGGAGGAAATTTTATGGTGGAGGTGGTGAGGTGGCCAACCACTATAGGAGGCATTTTGGGCAAGTGGAGTTGGTGACTGGGGATGGAGAGGATCGAGCCGAGCTGTGAGGATCGGGTCATATAAGGAGGATGGAAGAAAGGTGGGAGTCCTACCCTTGATGCACGGGGGAAACCGTTGAAGGGGGAGAAAGTTGGAGTGATGCGAGGGTGAGGAAGTGGAAGATGTCGATGTTTGAAGAGAAGGATGCCCAAGGGTGGGTGTACCTGAGACATATGCATCAGGATACGGTCTATGGGCATACAGGATCATCGACCTATTGCTTATTTCATCCAGGTGTTCACAACTAGGGTGAGGCTCAAGCTTGTATATTAGCGAGAGTTGATGATAATTATCTTAGCCATCCAAAAGTACAGACCCTATTTGTTAGGGTGACACTTTGTCTACAGGACAGGCCATAGGAGTCTGAAGTTTCTGCTGGAGTAGAAGATGGTCACTAAGGAGCATCAAAGGTTGTTATCCAAATTACTTGGATATGATCGCCCAAGACTAGACAGTACTCATCTTTCCACCTTGAGGACTAGGTGGCTCTTTAGGAGGGAAGTATTGATGGACTGGCAGTTGAGTCAGTGGACCCCATTAGGGTGGGCATCGGGTAAGAAGAGAGAGGGTGAATTATTTAGAAAAGTTTTAATTACAACTAAAAGAGAATTAATTAGAGAACAAAATCTGATGTGAATTTCAAATCTGAGAGAATTATTTAGAAAAAGCTCAAGAGAGTTAATATTCATTATGTAAGGAGGAATCAAAGGGAAATTGTTTAGGAAAATTTTAATTATAATTGGAAGGGAATTAATTAAGGAAAGATATCTAATTTGAATTAAAATATGAGATGGAATTATTTAGTGAAATGGGGCTGATTTGGGATGGAATTAAGGGAGCCTATTTAAGGCTAACTTTGGGGCGATTTCAGATTATGCATGCATTTGCTTAAATTATAAGTTCTTAGGTTGTGAGGGCTCTTGCTAGTAGCTAGGGATTTGGGAGAGTCAAATCTTCCTCTTCAATTGAAGATCCAATTGTATCTTCCGTTTTCTTTCATATATCTTTCAATATAAAATTCTTGTGTGTTCTTCATCCTAATTTTCTAAATTTCTACATCCACTTCCTATCAAATTGTTATTAGAGTCGTGGTCTGAACAAAAAAAGTCAACATTTACTAACTAAAATCTGTTGCATAAGTCTGATAGGAAATACTTGATTTCAAGTAGTTCCTAGCCAAATCTAAAATAGAACAAGGAGAAAACTACTGTTTTCAGCAGTGGACAGCAGTTTTGCACAATAAAACAGTGAGAGGTCACGGAAAAATTGAGAGAAAACTCAAGCAAGAGCTTGTATTTTACTAGTAAGCAAATAAAATAGCAAACATACAATTTGTTCTTCAATCTGAGAGGAAGAACAACTCTCCAATCTCCGGCAACGCCAAGAGCTCAAAGAAAGAAACCCTAGATCTCAAATTGTCATTTAAATTCAAGATGAGAAACAATTCACCCCCCCCCCTTTTCTCTGTTCCGCCTGACATACACATGGACCGGTCCAGGCTGGACCAGTCTAGCCGGACCCTCCTGGGCCGGCGGCACATCAAATTCTTCCCTTTGTTGTTTTTGCTGATTGAAGACCATTCATCGTTGTTTTTTGCAATTTGGAACCTAAATTCGTGAATGGCAGCAAAGAAGATGGAGGAGTTGGAAGGAGAGATGAAATAACTCAAAGGCCGGGATGGAGGAAGAATATTCCATAATGGAAGGAAGGTTGTCGTCAATGGAAACCCGAATGGAAAACCGATTCGAGACATGGAAGGCATGATGAGAAAATTAATCGAGATGCAGTCGAAGGCTTCACCTGCTAGTCCTAGGGTTAATCTGAAAGGAAAGAAATTTCATGAAGATAATGATGAAGTAGATATGGTTTTTCCTCAAGAACCATCCCGACGTGCTCCGATGGGAGGTGCCTCAAGGTATTCCGAAGAAGGGACATCAAGGAGAGGGGAGGTCGAAGCCTTTTGGAAACTACCCAGGCAGAAGGGAAGATGGGCCGGAGAGGGAAACAGTTGGGCCGAACCACCAAGGGAAGAAGGGAGAAAATCACACTACTACTCCACGGAAGGAACCAATGGTAGAAGAAACTATTGAGATATGGATACGAAATCGAGGAAGAAAAGATGCCATCTTTGAAGGGGAGGATGCTCAGGGTTGGGCATAATGGATGGAATGTTATTTTGCTATCAATGGGTTGAATGAAGAAAGAAAACTCATGGCAGCATGTCTATACTTGTAAGGGAAATCCTTAGCTTGGCTCCAATGGAGGGAAGCGAGATATCCGATCGACTCATGGAGAGAATTTAAAGAGGGCTTGTGAGAATGTTTCCAAGCAATTCAGGAAGGAGACTTCCACAAGCAGTTCTATGCCCTAACTTAGGAGGGGTCAATTATGGAGTATCGAGAGAAGTTTGAACTACTGTCGGGGAGATTGAGGGGAATCTCTGAGGAAGGATTGGAAGGGAATTTCATGAAGGAGCTTAGGGAGGACATACGAGCAGAGCTCAGGGTACTGAGGCCTAGAGGGATGAGAGAGACGATGGAACTAGCACAAAGGGTGGAGGAGAAGCACTAGAGGGAGAAAAACAGTCAGAGCAATTCCATGGGAGGTGCTTATAGGAACACCTCTACTACCTTGGCACTGAGGACCCATACGATGTCATTTTAGAGGGAAGCACCTAAAGAGAAGCACTAGAGTTCATATTGGAGGCAATTTCAAAAGCCTCATATAAGCAAAAGTGCAGGATTGGCAGGCGAAAGGGCTATGCTTCAAGTTTGATTAGAGATTTACACCCGGGCGTATGTGCAAGAATCGGGCATAGGTGCAAGAATCGAGTCCTTCAGGTCTTGATGTCTGTGAGGGGGAAGAAGAGAGCGGGGATGAGTCAAAGAAGGAATTGGAGGAAACAGTAGTTACATTTGGATGTGGCGAAGGTGTACTTGAACAATGTGGTGGGATTTACTCCAAATCACATCATGAAAGTAAGGGGGCAAATTGGAGAGCAACTTGTGGTAGTTCTGGTGGATAGTGGAACCACATATAACTTCAACTCAAATTGGGTGGTGAATCGATTGACATTGAAGTTAGCAAGAACGGAAGGATGTGGGGTGATGATGGGCATAGGCAAGATAGAGAGGAGCAGAGGGATATGTAAAGGTGTGGTGATGACCTTGCAGGGTATTTAGGTGGTGGAAGATTTTCTTCCCTTGGACTTAGAAAGTACGGATGTGATTTTGAGGATGAAGTGGCTACAAATTATGAGGGATATAAAGGCAAACTAGATGTCCTTGACCATGGAGATACAGGTGGAGAGGAAGAAGGTAGCGCTTCAAGGAGATGCCAGCCTATGCAAGACCATGGTCTCTTTAAAAACCATGCTCATGACAATCCAAGATGCATGTTTGGGGTGTTTGGTAGAGTTGCAAAGCATAGTAGGGTTTAAGGAACAGGAGGCAAGGGATATTCTAGTAGGAGCCCAACAGGTTCTGCAACTTAGGATGTATTTCAACCATCGGTCGGGTTATCACCGCCTCGAAAGCACGAGCTTGCCATCAACTTGAAAGAAGGGACGACTCCTATCAATGTCAGACCATACCATTACTCCCAGATCCAGAAGGATGAGATAGAAAGACAGATCAGGGAGATGATGGAAGCATGGATCATCAGACCTAGTGTAAGTCCTTTCTCTAACTTGGTACTATTGGTAACGTAAAAAGGATGACATTTAGAGGTTCTGTGTAGATTACATGGTTCTAAGCAAGGAAACGATACTTGATAAGTTTCCAATCCTCGTGATAGATGGACTCTTGGATGATTTATTTGGAGCTGTGATATTTTTCAAAATTAATTTTAAATCAGGCTACAATCAAATTAGGATGAAGACAACATATGTACACAAGACGGCCTTCAGGACACATGAAAGGCACTATGAGTTTCTGGTGATGTCTTTCGGCCTCACAAACGCCCTGTCACCTTCCAGTCACTTATGAATTAAGTGTTCCATCCATACCTCTAAAGGTTAGTCTTAATACTTTTTTTTATGACAATTTGATATACGGTGTTGTATCGAGGTAGAACACTGGGAACACTTGAATTCTATCATGAAGACACTGAGGGAGCATCATCTATTTCCCAACTAGAAGAAATGCACATTTGGGCAATCATAAATGAAGTACTTAGGACATGTAGTGTCCAGGGAGGGGGTGTCAGCTGACTAATCCAAGATTTAGGCCATGGTGAATTGGCCTCTTCCTAAGAACTTGAGGGAGCCGCGGAAATACTTAGGGCTCACCGCTTACTATCTAAAGTTTTTGAAGAAATATGGTACCATAGCAAGACCTTTAACAGAGCAATTAAACAAGGATAATTTCAAGCGGGGGGAGGAGGCTACCCAAGCGTTCTAGGAGTTGAAGACAAGAATAACCAGTGTACCAATGCTGGTGCTTCCAGATTTTAGGAGACCATTTTTGGTGAAGACAAATGCATCGGGTTATGGACTAGAAGCAGTACTCATATAAGATCAGGGACCTACTGCATACTTCAGCTAGGTTCTTACAACCAGGGGAAAACTCAAGTCTGTGTATGAGCGAGAGCTGATGGCAATCGTCTTGGCTATTCAAAAGTGGAGGCCTTATATGTTGGGGAGACATTTCATATGGGGGCAGCACTACACCAGTGTCCAGTGTAGAGCAGCACTTAGAGGAGAGAGACATGGTACTATCTAAGCTCAAAGGGAATTTACTAAGAGCCCATCGGATCATGAAGAGGAAGATGGTTGAGCACAAGAGGGAGGTAAATTATGAACCAGGGGATATGGTTTACTTAAAATTTGGGCCCTACAGGCAGAAAACATTAGCCAAGAGAAGGAATGAAAAACAATCCCTATGGTATTTTGGGCCTTATGAGGTCTTGGAACACATCGGAGCTATAGCCTATCGACTAAAACTACCACCATCCTCAGCCTTTCACCCAATCTTTCATATATCTCAGCTGAAGAAGGCGATAGGAGAACACAAACCATCATTGCTACCTCCAACCTAGATATAGGATAAGGAAGTTATGTTAGAACCTATGGAAATAGCAGGTGTATGCAAGTGGGAGACAACGATACATGAGGTGCTAATCAAATGGAAGGACTTGTCAGAGCATGATGCCACTTAGAAGTCATATCAGACAATTAGAAGACAATTCCCAACCTTCCACCTTGAGTACAAGGTGAATTTTGGGGAGGGGACTATTGTTACGGCTGGTCCAACAGGACCGGCCTTGCAGCCGGTCTAGAAGCCAGAAAACAGACAACTGCAAGAGGCGGGGCAGCATGGGGTTCGCCCCCCTTGTGGGGCCCAGTAATCCAATCATTCCTTATGCTAGGAGGATTAAGGGAGGAATTAATGAAGGGATTTTGAATTGAAATTAGAGACATAATTTAATTAAGATAAGAGTAATATTTTATGGCTAAATTGGAGGAAAAAATGGGGAATAGGGTTATGTTTTATGAGTTTTTTGCTGTAATTTCTTTTGTGAGGACTTCCTAGCGGCATCTAGATTGATTGGGAGAGACGATCTACCTCTCTAATTGTATTTCTCTTGTATCTTTTGTTTCTTGTTGAGTTATTAATAGAAATCAGTCACTATTTCCTCCAAATCATGTTGTTTTCTATTGTTTTCTATGGATTTCCTGCTGTGATTTGCTATAATTGACTCCAAGGTGTATCAGATTAGCTTCAATATGTCATGATCGGTGTGTTCTATGAATAAAATAATAAGCTAAAGCTAAATTTTCATTCAAACTATACAATAGAAGTTGTTACCATAGGTAAGTAAGCATAAATTAATACAGTTTAATGAATCATTGCTAAGTATGAGATTAACTTTAAATTGCGGGTATACTACTAGAATATGATTCATACTCTGCTTCTATTGAACGCTGTTCAAGGCAACGATACCTTGAGAAATAAAGCTAATATTTGTGCGAACAAGTAAAATTTATTCTTTCACTGGGAAGAAAATTTTGGATCAGGAGTCCCCTATATAAAGATGTCTCAGGAGTACAAAATTTTTACTCGGAATAGCAGGACTGTTAGAATAAACCACATGGTAGTCAAATTTAGTCTGAAGAGAAAAATATCTTTGGAGTGCAATCTTACAGAGGTAAAACAATTGTCTTACCTTTTGTTATAAAACTCTTATAATTTATATCAAATGTCTTCTTATTTTGAATAAAATAATTGTTATTTTTATTAAATTGACAAGTGCCAAACATTAATGGGGTATTTCTAAATTTTTATAGAGATATGGCCCGTGTGAATATTCCACAGTTGTGGGTTTGGTAACAATAGTAATTCCCTTTGAATAAATGTCTTGCACTCTTGATACATGTTTGTATGAGAAACTACTGCATGCACTATAATTGGTTCCCCTATTGTTATTCTAGAATCTAGCTTATAAATATCATTTAGAAATCAACAAGAAATTATGCTCTGGGGGATACACCTGCTTATTGATTGGGAAAAAAAAAACTAAACGGTATTTTAATTGAGCAAAATTCAGCTCAAGATGTAAGAAAATCCCTCTAAAACTGCTAGATATTTCAGTGAGGTCGTTGCAATGTCTTTTTATATTTCGCAATACAATTGTCAGAACAATCTTTGCTGACTAGTTTTGCACATAATAATTATTTGCTTGCAAAACAAAGAAAGGGTATAAACAAATTTTACTCAGAATAGTGGAGCTAAGTTCCTTCAAAAAAGTAGGCCATTTTCAGTCACACTTTTGTTAGAACAATCATTGCAAAGGTATCTCCTACTAAAGACTATTTTCTAGTTGATTCAAAAGAAACTAAGGTTATCACATCATTCCACTCCTTTGTTTGTCGTCTTCATCTTCTTGATTCAAATGTCATCACTTCTATGAGTATCGCAATAAAAGTATTTTAGGTATTTGAGGTATGGGCCTATCTCCAAAGACGGAGGAGGTACCACATATTTTTTGTTAAAACAAGCGAGGTACTTATATAAGATACTCTCTCATCAGTTAATTCAACACAAAATAAGAAATTTATAAAGCAACTGTCAATATATAATTGAAAAAGAAGCAGCACCGAAGTGAACAGACCTGAATCCAAGGGAACTGGCCGTGCTTTGAAACAGCAAAGGCAAATGTCACCGCCGGGTTCATGTGTGCACCAGAGATATGCCCAACAGAATAAATCATCACAGTTACAACCAGCCCACTGGCAACTGAAGCACCGAGCCGTGACACCCTCTTCTCGTCATTTCTATGCAGGGCCACCACCCCACACGTAACAAACACAAGCAGAAATGTTGATATGAACTCAGACAATACCTGCTCCAATATAAATCCATGCATGCAAACTTATTTTAAGCATACTTTTAAAATCAAATTGTTAAAATGAATCATAATTATAACCTTTCTGAGAAGGAATGGAGGGAAAGCAATTAGTAATCTCGAATATTTGGAGTCTTGAACTGTGTCCATGTCATAGACCTCATTGGAAGATAGGCTGAAGATTTGGTGTGTGGCCATGTAGTTGAGTTTGCGAGCTTACAATTTGCTCTCAACCTCGATGTGTATTTATTTATAGCTAAGAGGGAGCCGCAAGAAGGCCTGGCATTAATAAAAGATGCTATGTTCTTATGGCCAGCATGCTTTCTACAAGGTTTCATCATGTCATATTCTCCCGTAGGACCATTGTTTATAAACAAGACAAATCAACGTGAGCCATAACATTTAATTGCAGCAACTCTCTATGGCCAAAAACATTGATAGGTTTCCCTCACAGATAGGGCAGAGAATGACATAATTTTGAGTGGATTAAATTCAATCCAGCACAAGGTGCATTCAATTCGATGAGCAGCCCACTATAGACCATCTCCCTATAAGCTTGCTCAACGTCATATAGATTTAAATCAGATCAGACTCGTCTATTTCTACTAAATCTCAGTCCAAACAAAAAATTGGCTGATCTCTTAAGCCGACTTCTTAATTCAAACTTTAAAAAAACAATTATAAAAACACCAATAATTAGAGAGTTAATTGTCTTAATATCACTGAAAACTTTCACAAACACAATGAATAACACACAATGAACAGGAGACACGATATTTTTTAATATGAAAAAATAAAGAAGAGGAAAACTATAAGGCATCACCTAATTAAAACAATATTTCTACCATGTCAATTGAAGATTATAACAATGCACCTTCTCCCTTCTTGGCGGAGGCAAGATTACAAGGCCCAAGCCACATGGGTTATGACTTGCAATGATGGAGAAGAGTGTGAAGGGTGTTGCCATGGGCAGATAAATCATAGATGGTGATGAATGTTAGCATCGATCGACATCAATGATACACATTGTTGGTGTCAACGAGTGAGCAAAAGCAGGAGTCTGTGGTTGGTCGATAGTGGTCATTAGAGGACAGATAACATTGGTCAAATAACTACCCTCCCGATATGTAACAAAAACCATCTACTCTCCCAGACAGAGGAAGAGGAGAATGGCAATGTCATAGCTAAAAAGACCCAAAAAATGAGCAATTAACAACTCAAGGAGAGAGATTGCAAGGTGACGTACCTCCCGCGAACGAAGGCCGAAGCTGGGGCTCTCAGCGGAGAAGGGATACCGGGAAGAAGAACCTACAAGAGGGTTAGCAGAAAAACACCAATGGAACAGTGATAGTAGTAATACTAGCTTTTCATATATCTCTTCTGTGTAATACGATCAGCCCCTTGAGTATATTATACTCCTCCAGCTACTAAGAGGCTATTACTAAAAATAAGGTAAAAAGGAAAATGCAGAATGTTCTTTTAGCAGAACTTAAAACAGAAAAGTCAGAAAAGGTGCATAGCTGCGGTAGTGGAGAATTGCCCAGGCGTCTGGTGGTCCGCGGAGTATGATGCCCCATCACAAGGGAGGGAGGACTCAAGACTTGTCTTCCAAAATCTATAAAGCTTTGCAATCAACAAAAAAAGTCTCAAGAAAGAGGCTCAACAACTGACCAACTTAGTTACAGAAATGATGAAATTTCTCGATAAGCAAGCATATCAAAGGAAACAATATAATCCTTGTCCTAGGGGATAGACAAAAACAATACCATGCAATGGCTAAGACTATGTGTCATACTCCGCCACTGGGCCTAGAGGGAAATCACAATAACCCAATGGAAGGGTGCAAGCTGAAAAAAAATTAGAAAATAATTTCAAATCAATGGAAATATATTACTACAAATATTTGTCCACTAATAAAATCATCAGAATATCTAAACCCAAGACACATACTAAATATCCACCAAAATTTGAATGAAATCAAAACATACTATCAAATTAATTACATAACTTCAACATTATATACCTTTCAAAGATGGACCTAAAGCATGAACCTAAAAGGTCCCCTAGAAGCTGCATAACTAGCAACTTGAAATCATAAAATAATATGTGTGAGTTTGCAAGAAACAAACTCAACAGGTAAAACCCTACTAAGTATAAACAACAAGACATGGAGCATAAATACGAGCAAAAAAGGGACATGAGTGCAAGATAAACATTACACTACTACAGTAATGAACAAAGTATAAAATATGAGATTTTTAGAGATAGAATTTATATAATATTGCTTTAATATAATAAGGTTCATAAAGAATTATTTATGCCAACTAATAATCATTACATTCAAATACAAAAATATTCACTTGAGCATGTTATATTTATACGATCACCAATGACTCTGATAGGCCGGCCCAGGAGGGGCCGGCTGGACCGGTCCAACCTGGACCAGTCTTGGTCTACAGCCGGCGGAATCCAGGCAACAAAGAGGGGGGCGAAAAATCCAATGGGGCCCACTTGGAGTTAAATCCAATATTAGGAGGGAAAAATTGAATTAGAAGGGTAATTAGGTAATTTGTAATCCTCCTTTCATGATTAATTAGGGGGAATATGGGGGGAATTAGGATTATCTGGAATTTTGAATCTTATTTTGAGATCTAGGGTTTTCTTTTGGGCTCTTGGCAACGCCGGAGATTAGGAGAGTTTTCCTTCCTCTCGAATTGAAGGAATATTGACAAAATAGCACTGTGGCGTTGGGCTTGTGGGCACCACAACCTTGAGCTCTTGGGTTTTTGGAGAAAAAATTAAGCAAGCGAGATTGGGGTTCTGGGTCTCACAACATTGGGTTAAAAAAAATTATGTTTTTAATAAAATATCACATTCTATTTCACTAAAAACCTCACCATAGCCACCCCTCCCCCATTTCCTTGTTTGGCTGGGAGAGAAGATAAAAGAAAGGGGGGAGAGAGAGAGAAGAGAGAGAAGAGAGGAGAGAGAAAACTTACTCTTGGTCATTTTCATCTATCACCTCAATTGAGAAAAGTATTTCAATCATGGTAGGAAACCCTAACCATACATCTATTGTAAATGATTTTGCATTTTATCTATTTTCTCCCTTCTAAAATTGATAAAAATATGTCTCTCATTTTAGTGATTTTCCGCTGTGTAACTTTTGATATGTAGATATCGTCACCCTAAATATTTTGACTGGTTGATATTGAAACTTCACTGGTTGGTTTTACATATATATTATTTTAATTGAAATTAGTAGTATAATATTGAATATAAAATGAGTAGTATAATATGAAATATATGATATGCATATATTTACTATTCATTTAGTCAAATATGTATTGTTGGCACACTACAGACATATTGATCAATATAATGATAGTTGCATTGGGTATATATGATGTTTCTTATTATACTTTATATGATATGAAATGTGTGTAAAAACAAGAAAGGGCGAATATAAATTATTGACTGATTCAGGTTGGCTAGAGACATATTATCTTATAACGGAGAGTAGGTCAAGGGACTTTTCTTTAAATAAGAATTTTTGTATGATTCTAAGTGATATGAAAAGGGAGGTATAAGGAGATTGTCTAATATAATATAATATACCGACAGGAGGGAAGTGATGACTTTTTTTAGGGAAGTGATGACTTCCTACATAAAAGTCACCTGACTGGTGATATGCGATGTGAGATTGATTCATAGAAATAGGACTGATGTGATTCAGACTAATTTTTGTAGGATTAGCAAACAAGATTAGATATAGGAAAAATGCCACAGGTTGTAAAACTTGTATTTTGACTCGGATAAATAATTTTTTCTATAGTTAATATAACTCCACATTGCAAACCGTCTTTGCAATAGCGCTGTTATTATAGTATTTTACTTGCATGAATTTTTTCATAATTTTTTAGAGCTAGTGAAAATCCTTAAGAAATTGGCACCTATGAGTACAAATGGGGATTTTTGGACCGTTAGGTGTCTGTTTAGCAAACTGATTTCACCAATATTTTATAAAAAAATGATTTATTTTATAGATATTTTTCTATGATTTTTGAAATTCTAAAATGATTTATTTGAATTTTATATTAAAGAATTAACTAAATTAAATATTATATAAGATAATATTAAAATATCTTAAAGCAATAGTCAGCCCAATTGGTTTAAGAAATTTTAAAAATCCTTTTCCCATTTCAAATTCGGCTAACAGAGACTTGGTTTAAGAAATGTGAGAGAAAAGAGAGGAAAGACAAAGCTAGGTTTTGGAGGTCGTGGTGCAACAGTCAGCCCAATTGTGAGATTTACTCGTCTCGCTATAAGGAATCATTACCCTATTTTTGATTTAAAAAATTTTATATTTTTGATATTTTATCGATCAAATTTATATTTTTGTTACCAAAAAACGAGAATAATTTCATATTGATAAAGCTATTACCGCGTAACTTTTATATATTATAGAGATTGAGATTATGTAGTTGACCCCACGTAGTGGGACAAAAGCTTGATGTTGTTGTTGTTATTGTAGAGATTGAGATTATGAATGTTTTGAGTATTTATTTAAGATTTTTCACCAGATGATTTTAAAAATATTGTGATTTTCACCTACTCAGAAATTTATTTTAAAATCTAAAAATAGTGATTTAGTTCAACTAAAACTTCAAAATGTTATTTTATGGAATATATGATAATTTGGTTAAATTCTAAAAATGTGAATTTTTGCTTAGTATGATTTTTGTTATCTACCGTTGCGACATTTTGATATTTTCTGAATAAAGCTCAATTGTGCATTATTTATTGCAATATATTAAAAATAAATGTGGATATGTGACTTAGATTACTGGTATAGTGTTGGAAACTGATTGACCTGTACAGGATGGTGAGCCGACGAGCTTTCATGTAAATACTATTGTTTGGTGTTATCATATATTAATTCACGTGATACTAATTGGAGATTATAAGGAGAAGATTACTATGCCGATATGCAAAGAGTATTGACTCTATTTATTGAGACAATGGTTTACAAATACTTATACAATACTGAAAACATCGTGATAGTCAGGACTTCTTACTTATTTAGTGTGACTACTAAAATGTATATTTTTGAGACATTGTTCTTATTATTGTACGGATTTATTATTACTGCATGAATTTACTATTAATGTATTATTTTACTGCTCTTATCACTGGATTGTTATTGTTATAGATTTAGATATTGATACTATTTGATATAGATTCACTACACTAATATTAAGCATGTGATACATTGCACATGTATTATAGAATACTTGGATAATATGCATACACTCT